CCCCAAAACCCCAAAACCCCAAAACCCCTACTGGCTGAGTGGTATTGAATGCTCCATTCTTTCCTCTTTTCGATGAGAATCCGAAAGCTCCCTTCTTAATTATCTCTTTTTGCTTCTTCTCCTCCTCTGAATTCGGGTCAAAAAATTTTGAAGGCTGAGAGCAGCGGACTAATCCTTGCAAAGCAAGAATGTCAAAGTAGGACTTTACTTCCTTCTTGTTGATATTTTCTAACCTATTTTTAGGAATTCCTGACGATTTTGACTTCTGCTCTTTTGTCTCAGGTAATGGAGTGTACTCAAGTAAATCTGGATTGGGAGTATCTTTAGTCTCGACCGGAGGGTTCTTGTTGCTACTCCAAGGAATGCCAGCTTTACTCAAAGCATTAGTATTGCTAGTTGTTTCTTTTCCAATATCAGCGTCATGTGCTAATTTCGAGTTGTTTTCTTCCACAGCTTTAAGAGGTTCCATAAAATGCATCACTCCATCATCTAGTGCATTTCCTTTAAATAAGAAGTGGGTGATGTATTTTCATAACTTGGCACGATTTTGGCTGATCATGCTTTTGATCATTCCTGAAACAAGACAAAACAGAATTCCTTGGTTCTCAGCACTCTCTCGAAGTGTAAGGATAATCTTCGGTAAAATATCAGACTCAATGATAGTCTCTCCCATCTGCTCATCAGGAGTGAGGATGAGGAATTTGACTAACTTGATCACCTCAATCTTGATGTGCTTAGCAGCATAACTGTAGAGCTTAGAGAGGTTCCACATCATTTTGGTGTTAGCTATTCTGTTTACAACGTGGACCTCTCTACTTTTGTTCAAGCACATTCTTAGTAATTTTCAGATTATACTTGTTGTAACATGGTAGTCTTCTCTGTGTGCGCTAATTATTGTCTCAGGCTGGTCGAGATACGGGATGAAGAAGTTGAACAGTGTAGTACCCAAGAACAAACTTGCTATCCTCCTACAGTCATCAAATGGAGGGATTGTTTCTACAATTGAGCACATAAAGGCATAAACTTGCTCCTTGATAATCTCATCTCTTGTGTGGAGAAGTATAAACCCAAGGTCTTCAAACAGGGTTGACTTTTTTTCAATGCTGTATCTGGTCAAGATCATTTTGTGGGTAGATCATGCATCTAATGCATTAACTCCCAAAAATACTTCTAAGGCAAGAGTAACTAGTTCATTTATTTTGACAGGGATCTCGTAATATGGCTTAAAGCATATTTCTAGGGTTCTCAGATGAGTACTTTTGTAATCATCTTCTGATTGACACATTTTGATTCTTCTCTCTTCAAATTCGACCAAGTTGAAAAGAGGAGCTTTAAGAAGATTCATCAAAACATTTATGAGTCGATTTTCTCCATTAACTTTGGAAATGACTTGACTTTTCATCATAGGATTTGGGATACCCTTCAAAAAGGTCATTATTTCCATAAAGAACTTCATTTTTGCCTTCCTCACATCATGATCTTCGACCTGCTGGCCTTCCTCTTCATTTTCTTCATCAATTGGTTCAATGTCTAATAATTTTCTGAAGATTTCTTTATCGCAAGTGATGGCTCTGATGAGGTCGGCGCTCATAATAATTTCACAACTGCTTAGAAATCCCATTAGTACATCGTCAAAATCATGATATATGAGGATCCTCTTCAGATAAACCAGTCGGTAAAGATACTCAGCTTGGTCTCTGTATTTCTGTAACCCCAAGCTGTTTAAGTGCTTGTACTTAGTAGGGTCGTTCACATGACTCCTGTAATTCACCTTATTCAGCTGTGCTTTAGAGCTGTACTCAAGTGCTCCAAACGTTAGGTAATAGTTATCCCTTCTAAGTAGGAGCATCAAAAGATCTCTGTCTCATATTTTGATGAATCACACTATTATTTGACATCATTTGGCAAGATCATCCTTGTTAGTTTCTCTATCTGCCTCCATTGGAAAGAAGATTCCTTTCAAGGCCTCAAGATATCTACTCCCAAACCTGCTGAAGAAGTTTAGAAATATCATTTTGTCCATACCACGAAACTTAGTCAGTGCTTCGATGATGGCAGCTAAATTTTCCCTTTTTGGCTCAGGTAAAGGAACAGGGTGCTGAGGAGGGTTAGGAACTCTAGCATTCATAGAGAGATTACCTTCACTACCACTTCCACTATCTGATTCTTCTATCTCTCGTTGAGTTGTTAGGAAGCTTATAGCATTTCTCTGGCTTATTTGCCCACTTTTGTGTAAAATTTCATCGTCATCTTCATCATCCTGAAATTCGTGACGGAGTCGCTTCAAAAAATAACTCTTCTTATCCTGTGACATCATTGCTTCTTCCTTCTGAGTTTCGTTCATGTGGGACATCCCTGCTTCCAATTCTTCTGAAAGAGTTTCTTCTAGGGTGTCTGTGTCTATTTGGGCGAGGAGGCTACTGATCTCATCATTAGTCAGATTCGTCAATCCTTTCTCATCTTTGTTATTTCAGAACATCTTTTCTAGGATTTCATCGCTCTTTTTTGAAAGGTCAGAATCTGTAAAAAGTTGTTCATCTTCTTCATCGTCAAACTCTACATCATCCTTATTGGAACTTTTTGGCTGGATAGGTTCACTCTGGGCTACATCTTGTTGAGGTTTCTGTTCATCATTGACAAACTCGAAATCAGGGAGATTCGAGCTATCCTCATTCTGAATCTCAGATTTGTCTAAATCTTCGACTACCTCTGAACTTCCTTCTTCATCGTATGACGAAGTGTTCTCTGATGAGTCAGAGGGGTTTAAAGCTTCTTTTTGGTGCCCATTTTGGGCAAGAGAGTTTGAGTCATATCTCTGTTCAGGACTTGCATTACAGTTACCATCTATTATATCAATCAATCTCTGCTTGAAGTCACTTGACTGAGATCGGTCAAACTTTATCTCTGTCAAAGGCACAGTTTTTTTAGTCTTTTTGATGGATGCTGGATAATCTGTAATGCTAGCTTGGCTATATCTGGTCTAGGGAACTTCATAAAGTATTCGAGATTGTTAACTTTCCAGTGGATGACATCTTGTTCTCAAACAAAGTTCATTGCTTGGGTATCAGAGAGTCTTCATTCGTAGATTGATTTCTCGAGACCTAGATTTGCTGGGTCTCTTTGAAGAGTAGGAAGGGAAGAGTGTAGAATCCGCATAGTTATCCCTTTACCAGAATTAATTTCTATTGCATTGTCATTAGGGCTTGTCCCTTCATCGCGGATGAAAACCAAGTTTCAGGGTACTTCCTGGGTATTTTCCCCTTCTTTTAAGATATAAGTTATAGGAATGGGATCTGCTCCTTCTTTCAACATTACTTAAAGTACTAAAATAGCTAGTTATCTAAAATGTGTTTCCAATTATTGAGATCTTAATAATAGACTAAATTTTCCAATATTTTAGAATAAAATAGGGGTTTTGGGGTTTTGGGGTTTTGGGG